TAGCAGTTGCAGCTTTGTCAGTATTAGCACAGCCCTTGCAGCTCTGATCAAAAGTAATCTGTGTCAGTATGAGTGTATTCTGTTCGCACCCACACACTGTCCCGGCCCTCCAGGAAAGCTGGCGCTGTAGTCGCACTGCAGCCCTCGGCGGGTGTCACAGGGCAACCGGTCGGTGCAGGCCTCACCCTCCTGCCCAGCACACACCTGGCAGCACCCACAGCTGTCTGACACAAGAGGAACACCAACAGGGCAGCGTGGCGTTGTGGGCGGGCACTGACATGGCCCAGTGCACAGCCGGCACCACACCTGAAGGGAGAGCAACAAAACACAGCTGCTGTTTACACTTCCGCTCAGTGGCTTGCCGTGCTCTCTGTTTAAGTGGCAACTAAGTGGCACAACTGGTATTCAGATAATTGATAGGTGCTGGAGTGGATTTGGCACCAAGACAGGTACTGACACACACGTCACTGAAGTGCTTTCACTGAATGACTTCCTGAAGAAATAGCTCCAGTAATCACGACATTGTCTCTGAAAAGACTTGATCCTGTTGACTTTTTCAAGAAGGACACACAACTTTTTCATATTTTGGGGACTTGAGTGAACTGAGCCTTAAATTGAAATATCCTAAATCTGGTCCCAACATGCTATACTGATGTTCTACTGTAGGACTCAGTCATCTGTGTTCCTATGCAGCTCTACACAGGTTCATACAAGTGACAGTAGCGTAAAGGGCATGAGCAGATCATGAGACATTGGGGCCCTGGGCACAGACATGCAGAAGGCCCCACCGCTTCTCCTATAGGAGCAAGACACACTTAGCCTCTTTTTGTTGCTCTTATGTGTTATGGTTGTTTTCCCCGTTTTTGCAGTTATTTTGCAATTCTTTGTAGTTGTGTTTCTTTCTGGTCATTTGCAGCTTTTTGTTTTCATCTCTTTGAAGTTGTTTTTGGTGTCTTTGTAAGTCTGTTTGTGTCTCTTTGTAGTCATTTTATATTTCTTTGTGGTCATTTTAGTCTCTTCCTAGTGGGTATGTGTCTCTTTGTGTGACGTTTTGTAGGTGAGGGCCCTGACCCTTTAGGCCCCTGGACCTGTGCCCAGTTGGCCCGCTCAGTTATCTATCCATGTTAAAGGGTCATGCGATTCTAAAGTAAATTCATATTCACTCATATTAGGCCAGGGGACAGAATGTTTTCCAGGGACAGCCCCATGTAAAAGCTTTGGGTGTGACTTTCAGCTTGTATCCTCATATCAGATGATAGCATTGTGTTAGTTCCCTTTGCTAAAACCAAAGCTTCAGAACGAAATGATGTGAAACCACTGACGGGCAAACAATCAAACAATCGGACTGCACGGTGCCTTCTTTGAGATGAATAGATGAGCATCTTTAAACCTTTTACTATTAGTTGAGTAATAATTTGTACCTCCATGTCAAACATTTGGTTCATCCTTCATGGGATTACAAGACACTGTGCATCTGCAAATGTAGCTCCTAAACTTTGGACCAACGCCTTCCCCATTCTATCAGATCTGTTGAATCTGTGGTTTGTTAAAGCGGCTGCTGATAGGTTAGCCTTTTTTAATAAACTCTCTGTTCGCCTCCAGTTTAGTTTCATTCTGGCTGTGTGCTTTTAGTTGTCTATGTATAATGCATATGTATGCAGATGTGTGCTTGTGCGTGTGTGTGTATGTAGGTAGCTAGGTGTACAGTATATGTATATTTGTATTTGAGTATTTATTCTATATGTGTCACACTTTTAACTTTTAAAAAGCAATATATAAGTATTATTATTATTATTATATCAATCATGAAAAATGTACCAAAATGGTCACACGTATACAAAACAAAACATCAATTAAATATGTGCAAAACAAAAATTAAATAAATAAAACAAAGTAGAAACTAGACTAAGTCTCCTGTCAACTCTAACCACTGCTGAGATTCCCCTCAGGGTAAGATGACTAATGGCAGCCCTTTGCTTTGAATTGCTGCCTCCAATAATCATATTCCAGTTCATTATGGCAACATCGGGGACATCCCCGACCCACTCATGATAAGGTGAGAGCAAGCATTCACACACCACGCACACCACAGCTTGATAATATCGTCACATAACTTCTTTACAACAGACAGAAGGTCTTCTCATTTTACAGAGAGGATATTAATACGTGTCTCACCTGGGTGATGATACACAACAGCAAAGAGCAGACCAGCCGGGTGTCTCTTCTGTCCATCTTCCTCACCTCTGTCTCTTGAGCTCCTTCTTTTTGTCCAGTCTCCCTCCCTTCTCCTTCTTCTCCTCCTCCTCCTCTGGACAAGAGTGTAGATGTGTTTATTAAATGTGCCTGCCTTTGTTCATTTATACAGTCCAGGTTCTGATGTCACAGGCGGAGGACTGCAAAGTAAATAGTCACTGGAGAAGAATCCAAACTTCCAGACCTATCTTAAAGCTATAAGCTAGGCCTTATTAAAGCCACAATCGATTTCTGAACACCAGATTATGATTGTTTTGTAATTGACTCGATGCCATTGTAAATGAGGGTCAACCTTTAGTGATCTCATATAAACAAAGGTTGAATGAATGAATGAATAACTGTGTCCTTGATGGTAAATAGGCAGCTGTCTGCTGACATTTGAGCCATATCCACTTGACGAGGGGGTTATCCACACTGGATTTACCCACCACGCTTTATCTGAATGTCAGATTTCCATGATCTATATAGTACCCACAAAAATGAGGAAGGAGCAGAAAATAGAGTCTGCTAACAATCCCACAATGCTATGAGTCACATTTGATAGAAGGTAAAACTCTCGCTGTGGTACTTCACTGTCTGCAATGACGCAAGATAAGTCACAAGCATGGTCTCTGAAATCACAGTTTACTGCTCATTATCGGGAAGACTACTGAGAGTCTGTTCTGTGTAATAATGAATGAATAATGAATCCGCTGTGTCTGTGTTTACAGCTTTCTGCTGCTGCCCGGTGGCAAAAATGTGAATAAAAGCCCCTTTATGACAAAAAACACCCTCAATACATTTGAGTAACCCATTTCACACTATTGTATTCAGTGTTAATCAACACTATTTATGTGTTTGTATGTGTGTGTTTGTATTTAGTACACGTCCTAATGTGAATGGCTGCTGATGACCACCTACTGTCCATCTGGCAGAAACAATGCTGGGTATTTGTCTCCACCTAGTGGTTGAATTTGATCAATGAATACACTGTTGAGCAGTTTCCCTCACTTATCGTAATACTTTATTTTCTTACCTTTCTACTCCAAAAACTCTTTGTTCCAATTTTGCTCTCAATATTTTGGCATTTAACTACTTACACAATTTTGCAACTTGTAGGTCACGTAGATATTTATTCACTGTTAAAATCATTTAAAAAGCTAAAGCAGCATGTTACCTTCAGCAGCTAGCATAGCATATGAGTGCTAACGCTAGTTAAAGATGCGCTAACGTACTCTGCTAATGTTAGCTCCATCTGTTTTAAAAACCTTTATCTCTTACAACCTCTCTGGGTAACAAGTATCACTATTACACCTTTCACCACGACGAGCTCCAAATCCACTAAAACAGCCTGAACATGAAGAACATCTGAAACCACCGATGAGTCTGTGGAGCAGAGACAGATAACTGTTAGAGCTGCTGGCTAAAGCTATGTTATGATTGGCTAAACTGTGGTTGAGGGACAATACTTAGCGAAGGGTTAAATTAGGACTTGCTTGTTGACATGAATGCTTATTACAAGTTGGAATGTCATAATTCCGATAGGACACGAACGCGGCATGAGTGCCACAGACAGCGTGTTTCTGGCGTGTAGGGCAGTGTTTTCCAACCTTTTCTGAGCTGTGGTACATTTTTTATATTAAAAAGATCCTGCGGCACACCAACAACCAAACAAGTTACAAAATGACACATTGTAGCATAATACTGCATATTGACGGGTGTTTTGTTTGGAGATCACGTTTGAGGTTGCTTAGGACCGTGGATCTGTTGGATAGCTTTTCCCCACACACCAAGCGTAACGGAGTCGGTGCATTCGGATCCCCGGTGAAGGTAAATCCAAACGACAGATAACTTTCGCTGTATTGCCTCGAGCTCACCATTTTTTCTTTCTGTTGAACCACTCATACGAGGCTTTTAATCTAGGTTAGAATTTTGTCCAGGGCCCAGTTCAGAGTCTGCATTTTTCCTTTTCAAATATTGAAAATCATTGACCTACTGAATGCACTTCTCAGGGACAACATGCTCACATGTGCTCAATGTCATCAACATTGTTGAATGTGCAGCATGTGTACAGGATGTGATGGCACGGACACATTTTACTTCCTGTAAACGTCACAAGATGGAGACAAAGTTCATGTTATTCTTTGCTGCACAGGTTGATCAATAGCAGCACCTCTTAGCACTTTCTGATGGATTCTTCTTTTCACACAGATCCTTCACAGAAACCCCGTTGTGTTTGTCTGACGTCCTGGTTGTCCAGAGTAGCTCACACATCCATCACTGCTGTGGCTCTTGATGTTGTTGTTGCTTCATCAGCCACCAATTTAGTCAAATCATCTCAGAGACGTTATTCAGATTGAATTATATTTCAGACGAGTCTTTTCAGCTCTTAAGAGGCCCAAGTTTATTTGTTGCTGCTGTACCCTCATCGTCAAAACTCACTTGTATAAGATACAGACCAACACTGAACCTAAATGTGGTGGAATGCTCCCCAGAGAATGAAGAATAGGGTGTAGGGTTGTGAAAGCAGCCCTCAGGCTGGCTCCTTCCACAACCAATTCTTAATCAGTGCCAGCATAGAAGCCACCTGTTGGCATGGCCTTGTCCTTTTTTCGGGATTTTGACATTGTTGAACAGACCTGAGACGCCATTACAGGGTATGAGATTTCTGCTGGAAAACACACGTTTGGAGTATTTGAAACAGTGAAGAGACGGAACAGTAACTTGGTGAGTCTTGTTATTGAAAGGTAATTAAGATACCAAGACAAATGGCTGGGAAAATTGCTCTTCTTGAAAGTTTCCTGAACTGCCATGTTTGTTCAGAGACTTTCAGAGATCCTGTCTCTCTGAGCTGCAACCACAGCTTCTGTTCAAGCTGCCTGCAGCAATTCTGGAAACAAGCTAAAGACAAAAACTGTCCCATTTGTAAAACAAAGTCCTCAACGGATGAACAGTCAGTGAACTTAATACTGAAGGAACTGGCTGACTCCCTTGCTGAGAGACAGAATAATGGTTCACCTGAGACGGAACAAGAAAAGGAGAAAGCGGAGGTCGTGTGTGAAAAACATCCAGAAGTTCCTTATTGGTTCTGTGAGGACGAGCAGAAAGCTGTGTGTCCTGTCTGTGAGTTCTCTCTCCACCAGAGTCACAAGGTGGTTCCTATAGAACAAGCAGTCAGTGACCTGAAGGACCAGCTGAGATCTGATTTGGAGTCTCTGCAGGACAAGGGGGACAAACTTGAAGAAGTGGAGGAAACGTACAATGAAATAATTGAACACTCCAAGCTGTTGTCCACAGACAGGCAGATCAGAGCAGAGTTCAACAAGCTCCACCAGTTCCTGAAAGAGGAAGAGGAGTCCAGACTGGCAGCTCTGAGGGAGGAAGAGAAGCAAAAGGGGAAGACTATCAGCAGAGAGAGGAAGATGATTCAGGAGCAGATCTCCTCTCTGTCAGACAGCATCTCTGCTGTTGAAGAAGACCTGCAGAAACACAACGTGTCATTCCTCAGCAGTTATAAAGCCACTCAGACCAGAGCCAGAGTCCAGAGCTCACTGTCAGATCCACAGCTGGTCTCAGGAGCGCTGATAGATGTGGCCAAACACCTGGGCAACCTGTCCTTCAGAGTCTGGGAGAAGATGAAGGACAAGGTCCACTTCAGTCCTGTCATTCTGGACCCAAACACTGCAGCCTACAATCTCTATCTGTCTGATGATCTGACCAGTGTGAGATGTGTGTATTATTTTCCTTATAAATAATTTTAACATCTAATCTTTGTTTGTATTAGTAACATTATGGGTTAGTAAATTGCATGTTTTCTACCTTGTCAGCAAATATTGTGGTCAAAAACATGAATGAGTGACTTCTATCAATACAAAGCTGCGCTGCAGTTTGATGTGTTTGCAAACACAGAAACTGATTCACTTTTCTATTTCAATGATCATTTTATTGATAACACCGTAACACATTTTCTTGAAGTCATAGAAACACGTGTAGCACGTAAGAGAATAGAGCAATAATCTGAAGAATCAGAGAACTAGAGGATTAATATTGTTATACAGAAGAAACCCAAAGAGACAAAAAGAGACAACGGGAAACTAGAAAGAGCCAACTGCAGAGAAATGATTGAATAAGGTCGGAAAGAGAGGGAACAGGAGAAAGAGAGAAAGAGCAAGAGAAGACAACTCAGTGTTGTCAGTGCAACATACTCACTGTCTGGAGAAAGAAGATGGAGGTTCAGAGTGAACACAGTGGCTCCAGTTGATCTCAGCAGTGGTGGGCCGTCAGGACCTTCAAGGCCTTCTCTGCTGGCCTAAACAGAATCACAAAGTTATATCTATTTTATAATTTAATAATTTTTCTTAAATACACTACATGTATTATAATTTATATAAATATTTTTCCATTATCTTATTTTCTCATTGCACAGCTACTGTCTTCCTCAGTTGCTCTGCTTCCAGTGCAGCTTGTTTTAAGTAGAGCTTTTATCCAATCAGATTTCACCTCTGTGTCTCTAGGTAAGAAGAGAGGCAGAGGCCTGCAGACTCACAAGTGAATCCATGTGCAGTTTAAGTGAATGGGGACGATATTGGGGACTTTGTCTTTAAATAGTGAACAGCAGCTCTGGTAAGTTAAATGCATTTGTTTTTACATCTGTAGTAGCTTTAATATGCTTGTTTATATATCATTATTTGTACAACTTGTTTTTATGAAGATGGAATTTTGTTTGGTTTAATATGTGATAGGAACCATTGTTATGTCCAATGTTGCACTGGGGACATATTTAGCAGGTGCCAGTGTTGCCAACTTGGCGACTTTCTTGCTAAATCTGGCACCTTTCCAAACCCTCATGGCCACTTTTTTTGTCAAAAGCTACTAGCGACAAATCTAGCTACTTGTTCTGGTGTTGTTGGAGACTTTTCTGGTGTTTTGACTCTGATGTTAAAGCACGTACGTTCTGCACTGTCGTGAACGGGCAGCGGGTGCTGCCGTGAGCCTCAAAGCACTCACAGGTTACTCTCACAGCAGTCCCAGCTGCAGTCAGAGCAGAGAGGAGACGCAGTCTCGGCGTATTCTCTGCAGTTAGTGTATCTATAGGTGTTTGCTTCATTTTTACACGAAACAAATAATAACCGTAGCTGTGTTTCAGCTGCCGACAGCAGTGAAGGCCCAGGTATAAAATGCACGGCCCGCCACTGATATATACTGTATATTGCAACGTCTTCAGGCAGTAGCAGCCACACAGTCTGGTTTAAACTTTAATAGCACAAAGAGAAGGTGAACAGAGGGACTCAAAGGTTTCAATAACACAGAGTTGGATAACGCGCTGAGCACACATACACTTTGGACCGGTTATGGCTGCCTCGGGGTCCCGGGGCCCTGTTATAAGCCGACCCGCCGCTGCTCCTGACAGATCACACAGCAGAGGGTGCATTTGATTTATGCCTCAGAGCAGGATGAATTCAGTAAAGAGAGCGCTGCTGCTGCTGCTGCTGGTGGCCGCCATCGGCACCAATGCGGCCCCAGGCCCCGAGGACTGTCACAGTCTGAAGAAGCTGCCCTCATTGGACCTGCACAAGGTGAGTCTGGACCTGGTCTGGAGCCTGAGACCAGACAGATAATAAAATATGTCAGGTTCTTTCAACTTTATACAACTGGTGTGTGTCCAAACTACGACCCGAGGGCCACCTGGGGTCCTGAGTCTGATGTTGAAAGGCCTGCTTTGAATTTAAAAGATAGAAATTTGAATATGTCTCCAGCATTTTTCTCTCTCAATATTTGACCTTTTCTGCTCAGTTTGTTACAGTTTAATATTTGACAGATATCCTAATATTTTAAATGGCCCTTGAGTCATGAACAGAAACAATATTTCTCCCTGTTTACAGATTTAAACTCCATAACATTTAAAGTGGTTCATGAACTGATCACAATCACGTTTATTTGCCAAGTCAATAACAGCGTGGGCACATACGAACAATTTGACTTGTTATGTAAACAATGAGTGAAAAAAAACACATGTCCTCTGTGTCCTTAGTGTCCTCAGGGTCCTCTGTGTCCTCAGTCTGACTCTGTGTCCTCAGAGTCCTCAGTGTCCTCAGTCTGACTCAGTGTCCTCAGTCTGACTCTGTCCCCCTTCTTCCTGCAGGTCTGCGGGGACTGGGTCCTGGTCTGGTCTGTAGCTGACCATCAGGAGGCCTGGGACCTGCTGCCGAACATCTCCAGCTCCCACGTGGAGTTCAGACTGCACCAGGACAACACCACGGTCCTGTTCAAAGAGAGGAACTTGTACATGTGAGAGCGTGAACGTCCTCCAGAGAGACGTAGCTTTGTTGTGTCTTAATGCCCTCTGACTGGTTTGTGTCTTTTTTTTCAGGGACAAGTCCTGTAGTCACTACTTCATTAACTTCACGGTTGCTGACGGTGGAAACCACACGATGAACATCATCGCCGCAAGTGAGTCACATCTTCTTGTTACTATTGTTGTTGTTGTTGTTGTTACTGACGTGTGTTGTTTGCGTGTTAGCGGTGGAGAAGGACAGCGTCATCAGTGACTTGAACGAATCGATACAGACAGACTTCTATGAGAGCTGCCCCGAGTGTCTGATGATGGTCTACCATTCACCAGCGGGCCGATACATGCTGAACTACAGTAAACACACACTCGCACACACTGGTTCATGTCTCATGACATCAGAACCTCTCATGAGTGTCGGTGCCGTGTGTTTCAGGGAAGGAGGGCCATCATCAGGATGTGGAGAAGATGAACTCCCACCACGGTGACCTCAGGAAGCTGGCCGAGTGTCTGGGATTCCCTCACGACAAACCCTTCAGCTACGATGGAGCTGCAGGTCAGCTCTGCTCCCACAAGTACCATGAGTACATCAAAAAGTACATCACAACGACTTCCTCACAGATCAATGAAACGTCCGTCCTCTTGTCTCCTCACAGATTTTTGTCACAAGAAACCCTCTCCAGAGGTGGACGTCGCTGCGACTGAAGCCCCGGCTCCTTCCTGAGTGAAGACGTGGGACAAAACCCAACATGTCAGATGTGTTGTCAACCAATAAAATAACAACTCAAACCTGTGTGTGTGTGTGTGTGTGTGTGTGTGTGTGTGTGTGTGTGTGTGT